ACTGCTTCATTTATGTTGCCACCAGCTGTCATCAATCGTCTTAAGGTTCGCTGCCTAAACGGCATATCTATTTGTCAATTATTGCTATTTATGGATCCCACGAAACAGTTATTTAGAATATCGAGAGCTTTCAACGAAAGCAAATTTGAGGTAATCGATACCTTTGTCGTTTCAGTGTACAGTCCAATCCTTGTAATTGGGGCAAATAAAATCCAATACTTTTTTTTATTATGAAACTCGATATTTTTGCTTCGAAAAATAATAAATTTCAATTTATATCATATATCAAATTCCAAATAATTCCTTATGATATGGAAATTCCATATGGTAGGACTATAGATCGCTAGGGAACCACTCCCTCTCCTCTATATTTTTTGTTTCATACAAATGTGTCTAGTTAAAAACCGTGTCTAGAAAAAATGTTTCATACATGCTGCACATATGTATGGCCCACTGTAGGAACAAAATCCCCATAAAAAATAATGGAACGCCAAACATGTTCGCATGTCAATGTTTATTACCAACATTGTTGTCTGTTAACGTAATAACAGCCGCCAACTTTTTTTCTTCTTGGTTTCTAGGTTATACCCATACACTTTCTTCCGTTAGAGTTAAAAGCAAAACGAGAGAGAGAGAGGGAGAGAAGAAGACCAAGGGGGAATGACATGAAGTGCAAAGTATCACCAAAACAAACAAAAAGTAAAATTTCACCAACCAACAATTTTTTTTTGTTGAAAACCAAACAAACCAAAGAAAAAAGAGACGTACGCATTCTTTTGGTTCGTAGACTACTTTTGTTTGAGAGGGGTGCGAGCAAGGAAAAAAGGGGGCAACGAAGTGATGATAGTTGAACTTTTCAACAAGTTGGCTGGCTGGCATGGGGTTTTTGGTATTTTTATTTCTAGCATGAAATTGGAGCTTTAAACTGATTTGAAGTTTTGTTCACACATTTCTTTTGTAACAAATCAATTTTACCTTGCCCCTTCCCCCACCCCCTCTCAAATATTGTTAAAAAAAGATATGTATGAATATTCATTTCTAATTTAGCTTCAATTAGGTAACACCAAATTTGGTTAAGACCTTTAAAAAAATGTTGAGACGTGACCACCATTTATTTGTGGGTCTGTGTTAGGCAAGGGGGGAAGGAGGGGTAGGGGACGACTTTGAAATTCTTTTTCAAAAAAAATAATTTCACTATCGTTTTCCATATTTTGATTTACTTTGGAATATGTAAATATTTATTTAAGTTATGGATATTGCATTGATGGATTTACTCGATGTTGTTGTTGTTGTTATTGCCATTGGTCTTTGGTATGTAAAAAAGGTGAAATTTAATATTGAGGCTTCCGTTAGGTAGCTTAAATTTGCTCCCCCTCCCCCTTGTATTGACACATTGTTGATTCTTTATTTGGCATATTTTCTATCAACAATGCTTGATTTTTTTTTTTGAGGAAGTGTGAAGAAAGTGAAATTATTTTTATGGCAAAATTTGGCAATGGAATTGGATTGGAATTCGTTGGAATTTCTATACATGAAGAAAGGTGTTTTTGATTATTCAAAAATTTTAAAATTAATTGTACAAATAGTTGTTGTTTGAAATAATAATATGTATGGATAAGATTGGGTATCCTGCATCCACATTCCAAAAAAAAAAAAATACAGAAGTTGATATTCTAAGAAATTTGATCTTCCTTTGGAATGTCGACTATTTGGTGAATATTTTGTCAGCTACACGGGATTTTTTAAAATATATTTTTAGGGACCATCATAGACAGAGATTTAAACTTTTTTTCTTAGAATTTTTTCTTGAACATTTAAATTTAATAATTGTGAAATTTTATAAGAAAATACATTTTGAGCGACCATATCATTTTCCAAAATATTTGTCGACTTTTTAAAAAATATTTAGAAAATGTTAGATTTTTTTTAAAAAATACATTTGAATAGCCGAGCGTTTTTTTAAAAATTCTTTAACGACTATTTTATAACACTGTGCAACAAAATAAGTTTTTTTTTTTCAAAAATTACAGGGGACAAGTTCCCCCTTCATCACATTTTTGGAAATTTTCGGATTAAGATTCCTCGGAATCCCTGCAATTTAGGTATATATGCAAGTCAACAAAGGGGTCTTTTTGATCCTTTTTTAAATTATGGTTAAAAACTCCGTTTAAAGGGGGTTGTAGCACGTCAATATATTCTACAAAATTATTTTTCGTTAAATTCTATCAAAGATCCCAGAAGATGTCAAAAATCGAAACCTTATATAAATGCGAGGAACTCATATATACAGGATGAGATGAAAAAAGGGCAACAAACTTCAGACTGCTGTCATTTCTTAGCCACTCGTCCGACAGCTGTTAAAATTATTCCAGTGCCAGCTCATTATATTGTTTACAAGCGTACAAACGCATTTTGGTGAGAATTTTCCAGAAAAAAAGTTATTCGTGATGGAATTCAAGCGTGATTTCTTTATATTTGGCTGGAAAACCACAAGTAGCTATCGTTAGAGTACTCCAGCATTTAAATGTGAATAAATCTTTTGTGTCTCGTGCCATCGCTCGTTACCATGATACTGGTAGCGTAGCCCGACGTCAAGGAAGTAGACGGAAGAAAACAGCAACATCAGCAGGAATGGTTCGAAAAGTAAAGAAGCGACTTGATCGAAACCCTCGTCGCAGTGACCGAAAAATGGCTCGTGAGCTGGACATATCGCAATATTCCATTCGGCAAATATTGAAAAATGAGCTCGGGGTAAAGCCATTGAAATTCCAAAAAGTGCATGAACTTACACCGCAGCGGAAAGATAATAGATTTAAAAAAGCTAAGGAGTTGCTTCGCTTGGCCGAAAGTGGTGAACTGCCGAATTTGGTTTTCTCCGCTCCGATTAGAAAACATTCGTTGTTCAGCAGTTTGTAAACAAACAAAATGAAAATGTGCACCTTCGGTTGGCCACCAGAACTCAAGCGCCGGCCATGGTGATTATGCGGGCCGTCATATCAACCGATGGTCACTCTCCGCTCGTATTAATCGACAGTGCCATCAGAATAAATTCCGAATATTATAGCGAAAATATTCTGAAGGGTGTATTAAAGCCTTGGGCACGCAAAACATTTTGGCCGCAGACCTTGGACTTTCCAACCGAACTCAGCAGCACCATCGCACTCAGCACGCGCCAACCAAAAATAGTTACAAAATGAGGTTCCTCGCTTCATTTCCAGAAACAAAATGAAAATATGCACCTTCGGTTGGCCTTCAGAACTCATGCGCCGGCCATGGTGATGGTTTGAGCCGCCATAACAACCGATGATCAATCTCTGCTCGTATTGATCGACCGTGGCATCAGAATAAATTCCGAATATTATGGCGAAAATATTCTGGAGGGTGTATTAAAGCCTTGGGTACCGAAATATTTTGGCCGCAGACCTTGGACATTCCAACAGGACTTAGCACGCGCCACCCAAGAATAGTTTCAAAATGAGGTTTCTCGCTTCATTTCCAGCGCACGATGGCCACCAAAATCTCTGGACAATTGTGTCTGGAGTATTTTGGAAAGCAAGGTTGGCACTAAAAAATACCAAAATGTCGATCACCTCAAGCAAGCGCTTCGCCGTGAAAGGCCAAAATACCGCAGAGCAACATTCGGACAGCGTGTGACGGTTTCGTTGGCCGTTTGAAGGCCATAATTCTTGCCAAAAGTGACCAATTCGAACCAATCTAAACTTATTCTAAAATTTTATGCTATATGCCGAAATTTTTTGCTTTCATTCAATGAAAGTTTTTGAAAAAATGTAAAAATTATGGCGTTTGACTTTTTTGCAGTATTTTTATCTCACCCTGTATTGTTATCAGTGATATTGCCAAAGACACTATATGCCTAAAATTCACGGATTTTGAGGAACTTAAACCAAACATTTCCAAAAGTGAAAGAGGGAACAATGGCCCCCTCTATTTTGATTACTTTTCGAATTTGTGGCGTTTAGGTATGATTTAGACTCTTGACGACTTCTAGGACCTATGGTAGAATTTTGTGACAAATAATTTTATAGAATATTTTGAATTGCTACGATCTTGATTAAAGGATGATTTTAACCATATTTAAAAAAATGGACCAAAGAGACCCCTTTTTTGACTCGACATGACATGAGGGTTAAAATTTCAGACTAAAATATTTCCCGTATTTTTATTAGCAATATTGCCAAAGACACAATATATTTAAAATACACGGATTCCAAGAGATTTTAATCCGAACATTTCCAAAAAGTGTTGAAGACTCCAATATTCCTCGTATTTTTATTTGCAATATTGCCAAAGACACAAAATACCTAAAATGCACGGATTCCAAGGAATTTTAATCCGAAAATTTCCAAAAAGTGTTGGAGAGAGGGGAACTCATCTCCTCTATGCTGGTATCTTTCCTAATTCGTGGCGTTTAGGTAAGATTAAAACTCTTGACGTCTTCTAGGACCTATAGTAACATTTTATGACCGATAATTTTGTAGAATATTTTGACTTGCTACGATCTTGTTTAAAGGGTGATTTTAACCATATTTAAAAAAAAAATGGACCAAAAAGACCCCTTTTTTGACTCGCATAAGGTTTAAAATTAAATATTCCTCGTATTTTAATTTGCAATATTGCCAAAGACACAAAATACCTAAAATGAACGGATTTTGAAGAATCTCAATTTGACATTTAAAAACAGGAAAAAAAGAAAAATGTGGAAGAGGGGGGTACTTGGCCCCTCTATTTTGGTTACTATGCTATAAAAACTTTCAAAACGCCAATACATGTGTCTTCTGCTTTTTATCTCTACTTTCATAATATGTCGGATTTCCCGGTAATTATAGAAAAACATTTTTTTTTTATTTTTTTTTAAGTTTTGAAAAAAGAAGTAAAAATTATTTAATAATCGTAATATTTATTATTTTTTTGTATATTATTTAAAAAAATATTTTTTTTTTTGAGCCTCAACTAACAATTTCCCTTTCTTTTTCTTTCAGTTTAAGCATTCTCCTGTTCTAATCTGTTTTCAAAAATGCGAAGCTCTTTTGTTCTATTATGCCTGGCGGCCGTGTGCCTTGTCGGTGGCGCCCAAGCTGCATCCTATAAGCGAGGCGATAAAATCTCCGAACATTTCAAACAATTGGATTTGGCACCCGAGGAAATCGATCCCAATGTGGCGCCCTTGGATAGTGAAAATGAAGTGATTTTCGATAGTGAAATTGTCGATCAGGCTGAGGAGGAAGCTGTGGCCGCTGCTGCTGCCATTACCGAAGAAACACCCGTTGAAGAGGCGGCTCAATCTGTGGCCACCACGGCGGCACCGGTTACCACTGCTGCTGCTGCGGCAGCTGCCACTGAAGCTCCCGTCAAGGTCGAAGAGGAGTCACAAAATGTCTTGGCCAAATACTGTAAATGTAGTGGCAACCATTGCGATTGCTGTCGTAACTTCAATTTGCCCTTCATTCCCGTCAAGGGACCCGGCTGTGCCCGCATGAGTTATTTGGGTAACGAGAAAATGGCTGTCAGTTTGAAATATGGCGATCTCACCTTGATTACCAGGACTGTGTCGAGTGAGTGGGATATGGAAATTATTTTATTAGGCAGGGTATTGAATTGTGTGTTTTTGAAATTTTAGGTAGACGTGCCCGCCCTATTTGTGTTGGCCTCCCCGGTGGCTATTCCCAGTTCTGTGGCCGCATTTATGGTCTCTCCAAGGCCAGTGAAAACTTCAAGGCTTGCTTAGGTTTTGAATTGCGCGCCGATGATGAGGTGGAGGCTGCCTTGCGTGTATCTTGCTTCAAGTTCGGCAAAGATGGTTTGAAGGTGGCCGATGCTGAACCTCTGCCCAGTGAGGCTGTGAAGCAGGAGGAAGATGATGATGATGATATTTTCGGTTTCGGAGGTACGGAAGAAAATATAACTTTTTTAATTTAATTATTTATTTTTATTTAATTATTTTGTGTCCTCCAGGAGCTGGTGACGATGATGAGGATGATTATGATGATGATGCCGAGGATGAAGAACCCGAAGATGATGATGATGATGCCGACACCGATTATGCCGATGATGATGACACCGAAAATGATGAAGCTCCTGCCGATGCCGACTATGGCGGTTTCAGTTTAGCTGGTCTCTTGGATGAGTTGGACGATGACGAAGATGATGATGACACCAAACCGGTGGCCGCTTCACCTGCCACCACAGCTCCCGTGGATGCCACCCGCACCGCTGATGCTGCCCAGAGCAAGGATGAAAAAGGTACCGAAGCTGTTGCCCAAGCCACCGAAATGATGGATGATGCTGCCACCATGGCCGACACTGTGGCTCCCGCCACAGAGACCACAACGAGCACCGTTGCCAAAACGAAAAAAGCTAAAAAGGCCAAGAAGAACAAGAAAAAGAAGGCTGCCGAACCCGAGGGCGGTGATTTCGCCTATGAACTTTTGAATGGCCTACTGGATTTTTTCAACTAAGCCTGCAGCCAGAGGTTGCAGGCATGCTAGGCAATAGTGTAAATACAGTCTTTTGAGAGGTGTCTCATGGGTGCAAAGTTAATAGAAAAAAAAATGTAGCTTTTAATTTAATTTATAGAAAAAAAGGAGGAAATAATTTATTTAATTTAAAATGCAAGCTAATTTATTTTTTTTTTTGTAAAATAATTTAATTTATTGAATAAAATTAGAAAAGAATTTTAAACAAGTTTTTTTCTTAAATTAATTCTTAAATTAATTAAAAAGAATTAAAAAAACCTTTATGTGATACTACACACGCTCAATAACTGAAAATCGTGGTAACATCTGAAGGGATAGAGCAGATTATCGCCTCACATATAATCGTACAACTTGGGCGCCACGGAGCAGGCACATTGCCGCCAGACACAATAGAATAAAGGAGCTTCCCCTTGTTTGGGAGTAGATTAGAAAAGCGGAAAGCTTAACTTGAAAGGAAATGAAAGGGAAATTGTCAGTTGGTCCTAAAGAAAATTATTTTTAAAATAATTTATTTAAAAAAAAACATATTTTTAAAAAATATAATATTTTAATAATATACAATATATTTAAATATAATATTAACAATATTAAATTTTTTAAAAATAATTTTTTAATAAAATATAAAAAATATAATTTTTTTTAAATGAAAAAAAAAAAAAAAAAAACTACAACCAACTTTAGACTGCTGTCATTTCTAAGCCACTCGTCCGACATCTGTTAAAATTATTCCAGTGACAGCTCATTCCATTGTTAACAAGTGTACAAAAGCATTTTGCTGAGAATTTTCCAGAAAAAAAAGTTATTCGTGATGGAATTCAAGCGTGACAATGAGATTTCTTTACATTTGGTTGGAAAACAACAAGTGGCTTTCGTTAGAGCATTCCAGCATTTTAAGGGTGAATAAATCTTTTGTAGCTCGAACCATCGCTCGTTACCGTAATACTGGTAACCTAGCCCGACCCGACGTCAAGGAAGTGGACGGAAGAAAACAGCAGCAACATCAGCAGAAATGGTTCGAAAAGTAAAGAAGCGACTTGATCGAAACTTGCGTCGTAGTGGCCGAAAAATGGCTCGCAATATTCCATTCGGCACACAATTGAAAAATGAGCTCGGGGTAAAGCTATTGTGTTCCAAAAAGTGTAAGAACTTACACCGCAACAGAAAGAAAATAGACTCAAGAGAGCTAAAGAGTTGCTTCGCTTGGCCGAAAGTGGTGAACTGCCGAATTTGGGTTTCTCCACTCCGATAAGAAAACATTCGTTGTCCAGCAGTTTGTAAACAAACAAAAACAAAATGATCGTGTTTACTTGCCAAAGAGGTCAGCTGAAAATGTGCACCTTCGAACCCATGGTTGGCCACCAGAACTCAAGCGCCGGTCATGGTGTGGGCCATATCATAACAGCCGATGATTGCTCCCCGCTCGTATTAATCGACCGTGGCATCAGAATAAATGTCGAATATTATCACGAAAATATTGTGGAGGATGTATTAAAGCCTTGGGCATGCAAATATTTTGGCTGCAAAGCTTGGACATTCCAACATGACTCAACACGCGCTATCCAAGAATGGTTACAAAATGAGGTTCCCCGCTTCATTTCCAGCGCAAAATGGCCACTAAAATCTCTGGATACCAATCCGTTGGACTATTGTGTCTGGAGTATTTTGGAAAGCAAGTTTGGCACTAAAAATACCAAAGTGTCGATAACTTCAAGCAAGCTCTTCGCCGGGAATGGACCAAAATACCGTAGAGCAACATTCAGGCAGCATGTGACGGTTTCATTGGCCGTTTGAAGGCCATAATTCGTGCTAAAGGTGACCAATGAGATAAAAACTTTACTTATTCTAAAATTTGATGCTATTTCCGGCATTTTTTGCTTTTTTGCTTATGGTGTGTGACTTTGTTGCCGTTTTTTTTATCTCACCCGTATTAAAAAAAAAAAAATAAAAACATTTTTAGGTCAGGAATTTTTTAAATTTTTTTCATTTCCTGACCTAAAAATGTTTTTATTTTTTTTTTTAATACGGGTGAGATAAAAAAACGGCAACAAAGTCACACGCCATAAGCAAACGTGTATTTTTTATTATAAATTTTTTTGAAGGTCACTTGGGTCTACCAATGTTGATTTTTTTCAAGGCCTTTATATAGACCTTTCAATGTTTTTTAAAATAATAAAAAAAAAAACAAGTAAAAAGCTGTACATTCGGCTGGGTCGATCTTTGAATACCATCCACCATTTGGATTGAATTTGGCAATTTTCAAAAAAAAAAAAAAAAAATCCGTTAAAAAGTTTGTTAAAATCTTAAAAATACCACATGTTGCCGTTATATTAGGATCTATATGACGACGTGGACCTGCATAAGCAAACTTTTGTTATAAACCATTATAATACTGAAATGCAAAACTTGAATAAAGAAATTCGGTGAATAATGTTGCTAGAATCATCCAAATACCGAATATCGGGGGGTACGGTTATATGGGGGCTGTACGAAGACGTGGACCTGCACAGGCAATTTTCTGTCATAGGCTGTAGTACCCATTACGAATTGCAAATACCAAATTTGAAACAATTCCGATGAAGAATGTCGCTAAAATCATCAAAATACCGAATATCGGAGGGTACCGTTATATGGGGGCTATACGAAGACCTGGACCTGCACAGAGAATTTTCTGTCATAGGCTGTAGTACCAATAACGAACTTCAAATACGAAATTAGAAACAATTCTGGTGAATTATTATTCGGCTAAAATCATCCAAACACCGAATAGCGGGGTGTACCCTTATATGGGGGCTGTACGAAGACGTTCACCTGTATAGACAATTTTCTGTCATAGGCTGTAGTACCTATTACGAACTTCAAATACCAAATTTGAAACAATTCCGGTGAGTATTGCCCCTAAAATCATTAAAATACCGAATATCGGGAGGTACCGTTATATGGGGGCTATACAAAGACGTGGACCTACATGGCCCATTTTCGGTTTTATGCTGTAGTATCTATTACGAACTTCAAATACGAAATTAGAAACAATTCTGGTTAATGATTCAGCTAAAATCATCAAAATACCGAATGTAGGGAGGTACCGTTATATGGGGGCTATACAAAGACGTGGACCCGCACAGAGAATTTTCTGTCCTAGGCTGTGGTACTCATTACGAACTCCAAATACCAACTTTCTCAAACATTTCCGTTGAATGATTCAGCTAAAATCATCAAAATACCGAATATAGGGAGGTATCTTTGTATGGGGCTATACGAAGACGTGGACCTGACCTGTATACGCGATTTTTTGTCATAGGCTGTAGTACCTATTACGAACTTTAAATGTAAAATTCGGGTAAAAATATCGCTAAAATCATTAAAATACCGAATATCGGGAGGTACCGTTATATGGAGGTTATATGAAAACATTGACCGAAATGGGGGCATTTACGAACCTATCCTGCCTACTGGCAAAATGCACATGTGTGTAAAATGTTAGCCTTCTATCTCTATTCGTTCCAAAAATAGCGTGATTATAACAGACCGACACACAGACAGACGTACATCGCTAAATCGACTTAGAATTTTACGCTGATCAAGAATATATATATACCTTGTCTGACATGAGTATTTCGAGGATTTACAAACGGAATGACAAAGTTAATATACCCTCCATAGAATAGTGCAGGGTATAAAAAATAAATAAAAATATTTTTTTAGGTCGAGATTTTTTTTAGTCCTATTAGGCTTTTTGACGTGTATTAAAAAAAATAAATTTTTAATTTTTTCAAATTTCCCAGTTATAAATTTAAATTCAAGCTGCTCTATAGAGAGACTTTATTTAATGCTCTAATTTGCGTCTATTTTCGCCGGAATCTGAATTCCATGACAACTTTGGGGAACAATTTCATCGCAATTCTCTATGGAAAGGGGGCAAGCAAAACACCCTCTCCTCTCCGGTGGTGTAAAATAAATATTCTTCTAAAATATATATTTAACAATTTTAAATTTTCAAATAAAATTTCTAAACTTTTTTTTTCATTTCCTCCCCCACAGTTTTGGTTGGCATTTTTTTTCGTGAGGATGGCGATAGTGATAACGAGAAATATGTTAACAAGTTTAACACACACTCTTAAAAAGGCGTGAATACAGCTGGAATTGCCATGGGGGGAAGTTATGACACCCTGCCACTTAAGGGTTACATGGCTCAGAAAAGAAAAAAAATCAAAAAAAAAACATTGTAAGTTGTTTGAAGTTGTGGTGGGATTTTCATATCTTTAAGAGCGAACTTTTTACAAGTGGGTAACATCAAAATAATGAAGAAATGAAGAAATAAAAAACGGAACGAAATCTGACCCAGTTTACTGAGAATATGAGCACGTGTTGGAAGAAGGCGGCGAAATAAAACTGAAAGCGAATTAAAATCACCTAAAAAGAAAGTTGTTGAAGGAAAATGAATTCATTTAAACTAAAGCATACTTTTAGGCGTTGACTATGCCAATGCCAAGCAACCATCCAACCAACCAACCCAACCATTTATCTGATGTTCACCAAAGCCATTCATCCACGCATATGTTGTTCTCGAAAACTCAGTTATTTGAACTTTTGCGGAAAATCTTCATAACCTAATTGCCCCAAACCACGTGTCACAAATACCGCCACACACTTGTGACCCCTCAAAAATACCGGTATTTGTTTGCCTTCCCTCCACAAAAACAAACTTTTTCAATTTGGCAATAATCCATTATTGTGTGAAGTAGTTTTGTGGTCGTTAAAAGTTTTCCATTTTCATGGTTTTTCGATTTCAATGTGTAAATAAATTACAGCAACAACGACAACAAAAAACAACATGGGAACTGTTATTACCAATTACGTAGCCCAGAAAATATTCAAGCGGACTTGTTTGGTAGGGGCTTAGGTTAGACATAAACATGTTGCATTGTTGAAAACTGTAATCAAAATAATTTTTTGGTTGGTTGTTCTTCGTTTTCGGCTGGTGGGTGTGAGGTATGCGGAATTAGATATGGGTGGTATGAATTTGGGGTAGGCGGGCAGGTGCAGCACAGTGGTGGAAGTTTGAGAAAATTATAAAAATCTGGATTTTTAACGACTGCTTTTTTTGAGATATATTTTCCAAGGATGTAGATTTTTTTTCCAAGGACCTTTACACTACATAACGGCGAGTTTTTAGGAATATTTATAAGGTTTTTAAATGA